TAAGTCTTTTTTTTTTTTAAATTCAGATTGATTGATTGATTGTACTTTGTTTAACGTCCCTTCGGGGATTTTTTCACTCATATGGAGACGCCGCCACTTGCCGGTGGAGAGCTGCAAATTTTGTCCTATACTAGACACTAAAAGGCCATTGAGCAGGGAGGGATCATTTTCGTGCCAGCACCTACTGCGACACGGGACCTCAATTTTAACGGTCTCATCCGAAGGACCGAACTCCACGTCCCACAGGGGGATTCGAACCCGCGACGTAAGGATCAACTGTTTACTTCGCGACTCTAGAGCAGACGCTCTAACCACTGCGCCACACGATCAACTTGATATTTCAGAAACGACGTAATAATACCATGTAAAATAAGTTTCATGTTTTAAAGACTCCATCATAAATACGTTTTAGACATGTGTTGCATCTGCCAATTCTTCTTCCGTCCTTAAGACTTATTTTCCGACCGTCAGATCTTTGAATGATAACATATTTTAAACGAATGTTCATTGTAGCTCTCCGTTTAGCTGCAGAACTGTAGCTCTCTGCTTGAGAAATTTGGATAGATAAAGAGAACAACAGATCCATACGCAAAAATCTTCGATTTACGTTGCCGTTTTTGATCGCTCATGCATTTCTGATTTATTACTTGTATTTTATGCTTTTTCCCGATTAAGAAATAGCATACGATAATTTACCATATGTGTTACTCCTATTTTGGGGTTAAAGAATGTTCTTTGAAAGATATCATTGTGAAAAATCACCAGAAATACATCTCAAAGTGAGCGACCAAAAATTGGCGGCGTACAGCATTTAGATCTGTTCTGCAGGTACTCTCCGGTTTGACATTCAATATGTATTTTTTCGGAGAACTAAGGTTCTGTGGCTTATATATATATATATATATATATATATATATATATATATATATATATATATATATATATATATATATATATATATATATACTGAAAGGATTAAGAAACGCATAATTATTAAACTTTTGATTTTAAATAATTGAAATAATTATTTTAAAATATGTTTTCCACCTTAGTTATCATACATTCTAATCCATCTTTAATCACCAAGTTACCAAAATTTTGTGTGATTTTGAATGATATTTCATGAGATATTGATATCAATATGTCGTCACCCCCAAAAAATAAAAACTAAAAATTCTCATAATCTCCCTTTTGCATCAGGAACAAACTTAAATTTTCCTGTGCATTGAGTTCACCAGAGCATTTTTCTTTTTCCTAACATTATTATTCAACCCTTCCGTCGGTAGTCTTAATGTCTGAGATTAGCCTTGTTATTCCAAAGCCAACAAATCCCCCCGCCCAATCGAATACGAATTTTCGATTTAGGATAGAATGTATGGAACCCAGCAGGTTTGGTACACGTGGATGTTTGAAAAGAAAGGCTCGACAAAATAAGCTAAATTTTTCCAGTGTAAACATGCTAAAAAAATCACGCAAACGACGCGTACGTGCGCGTTTGAGAGTAAAATCAACGTAAAGTGACCAAGCTCGTTGCCCAAGTTAGAGCAGAAAGTTTCTGTCAATTTTTGGGTGGAAAAAGGAGTATGATTGTCTGCTGTATAAATCGGTTTCAGTGATAATGCCTTGACAATAACCGAGGTGACATGATGAAAATCCTTATCTCGTTGTTACGCGCAAATGTCGCCGTCATGGTTGGTTGGAAACATTTTAAGTTTACTCTCTGACAACCAAAAAAAAATTATTTGGTTTAAAAGTTGAAAACAATCTGTATGTAGCAGCATGTTTTTGCCTTTTTATTAACTTATGCAATTTTGAATTCAATTACTAATCTCACAGTAGCTTCCGTCAGCCATACCACGATTGAAAGAAATTCATTCTGACTGCAAATATGCAAAAACGATTTCTATAACTCCAATGCATCGTATGACACTACAAAATTTTATCACAAAATTATCATCATCAACATGCAAGTGTTTTTGGCTTTTTATCACTTCCCCTATGTGACGCCATACTTTTCATGGTTGAGTACTTTTGACCAGCGATTTTAGTGCAAAGAAACCAAAATACACATCTGACCAATTTTCATATTTTTCCGCCACATAGCGTTTCTTTTTCCTTTCAATATATATATATATATACATATATATATATAGAGAGAGAGAGAGAGAGAGAGAGAGAGAGAGAGAGAGAGAGAGAGAGAGAGATTCATTTGCAATAATTGAATTTTTTTGTAGATTTTATATGTCATACGTATCGACGAGACGAAGTCAGACAGGACTTATGTACAGTGATTATAATAACAGGAAAAGGATTACTTATCTATCTTGTAATGGAGACGAAAAAGAAGCATCCCAATGCAGATTTAGCACATCTAGCTATATGTCAAGTTATTCATCGTTGGCAGTTTTGGAGTGTCGATCAGGTAAACTTTATCTAGTAGTAACAAATCTGAAAAAAAAAAAATAGTTGATAATTAGAATAGAAATAAAAATTGAAGGGG